GCCGTGGTCAAGAAACCCCCGGTGAAGACCCGCTCCATATCTCTCGATATGTGTTCGAATACGTGACCGCCCTCCAAGGCGGGGTCATCCCAAAACCTTATTACAAGGTCCTAGCGGATTGCAAACACGGGCTGGGTACGATTTGGAGAACGCAGGGAATACAACGAGACATACGTTCGACGCGCAGATCACGCAACAGGATCTGGCGGAGTATTATTCTCCGTCGTTTAAGAGTAAATTCGATGAATAGGAATTTGACTTTCCCACTGACAAATTTGGGGAGTCCGGAGGGACCTTGGCGATGCGCAAAGGGATGGGGTTGCTGGGATGATGACTAGTCGTGAAATGCTCGGAATCATATCGTGCGTGAAAACTGGGGATAGATGGCTGCTGACCGATCCTGCCATTGCAATGGTGTCTTTCATCTCTTCCACGTCCTCGAACTCGACCTATCCAAAACCTTTTGATTTCTGCTCCCTGTTGCGGACGATTTCGACTGGTTTTGGAGGCTAGAAAGGAAGATTGATCAGATATTCCTGAGCCACTGATTGACCCAGAACGCTAGGTGGAGTAAAGATGTCTTCATATTCGGGCGGATTGGAAGCCCTCTCTGTTGAGCTGAGGCGGCAGGCCCAAAGGGTTGAACGTTTCCAGTTGGCCAGTATTTTGGGAGTCGAATTAGGGAAGGAAAACACGGTAGTGTCTATCAGAAACTATGAGCTAACGAGTCGCGAGTGCCTTGATACATAGCACATACCGGAACATTACAGCCCACCTTTCGAATAGAATGTTGGGCAAAGACTCTCGAAGCTCTCGGGCTATGGTACGGAATGGTGTTGTCGACGAGTGGTAGGGACCAAGGGGCGAGGCCGAATGATAGTGCTCCCGCTGGGATTCCGAGACATCAACGTATTAGGTTCGACTGGGTTATCATCCGCATCTTGAACATTTCGCTGGTGAACCTGACCCGCGTTTCCTGGCAAATTTGACACGCAAGAGGGCATCACGCACAACAGTGCATAGTAGAACGGTCATTCGCCCAAGCAATGGGTCGGTCGGAGGTGTTGATCATCGATGAAGCTCGAGCTTGAAGTCGAGATTCGTCATGATAATTCTCCTCGTCCTCGTCCTCTTGATCTACTTCTGGGTCTCGTCCTGAATGCCCTTCTGCTTTGTCAACTTCAAGCTTCCAAAATTGTCTATGACGATCCGATTTCTTGACCAACACCTCGGCTGGCGTATCCTTTCATCCTGTTGGTCGTGGATTGTGTTGTGCTTCCATTGGAAGATTGAGCTGCAATGTTGCAACCAAAACCGAGGTATCATATATCAAAGTTGCCATGAGCTAGTCCACGAAAAGTATGATTGAAGGAGGTCATAGGAGAGTGAAATAAACGACTCAAAAAGCCGGAGATAAAATCAGTCGTGGACGTCAACAGCAGGGAGCGCTTCTTACTCGGGTTCGGAAGTTGCTGGCACAAGCACCCACAAGTTTTGGATATCCTAGGCACCCAAAGTCCGTCAAAAAAGCTCATTAAAGCTTCTATATCTCGGGGATTCATTACTTAGGGGCTGATGTATAGAAAACTGGAGGTTTGGGTGTGCATGAAACTGTGGGCGCTAACTTGACACACACCCACACCCTCACCACCATCATCCATGTTGTCAAGTCGACTCAGAACCGATATTGTACCCAACGGCGCTTCCCCTTCCAGCCCATACCTAAGTGTCGCGCCGCTTTCGAACAGACAGGATCACTTCCACATCTCCCGCGGCTATCGAAGCAACCTGTGAATGTCGTCTTTATAGCGGCCTAGCTATCGTATTCCAACAGACCTGGTTCTGTATGATGACGCCGGACTCTAGCTTCTTGTATTCATGTTAGGCTGGGCTGAGGGACGTGGAGATGGATGTGGAAATGGAAGTAGAAGTGGACGATTTATCAAGAATTAGAAGGCTACAGAATCGAACCAAAAGTCCAAAGGGAAGATAAAGACAAAGATCCGGATTGATGGCTCGGATGCGCTCACATCTCGCTACCAGTTTCACCATCTGCTCCCTCTTGCCGTCCTCGTAAATGAATCTGGGTACACGTTTGCACCAAGAGGACCTGGTATGGGTATGTTGCAGAGTTTGATGGACAAGGCTACGTGGCGGGCCCAGGGACGATGAGACTGGTTCAGGCAAAAGCAGCGGATGATCAGGGTCAGGATCAGAGGAAGAGAAGATCGTCAATGAAGAGGAGGGTCAGTAAGATGGCGATGAGGGCGACTAAGGATCGGGTGCGTCTATCAAAATCGACACCCCTGTCTTTTTTTCCAACTGACGATGATTTCGTGCAGCGAAGCCTCATGGTAGCAACTCGCAACGCGTCGAGAAATATGGTGATAAACATCGTTATGAAGAACCCGTCGTGCGGTATCATGGATTATAATTGAAGACTCGGAAACGAGACACGGTCAATCTCTCACAATTTACCCTAAATGGATGTGCCTCCTTCAGATAGGACATTGCGAAGCCCTCGGTCGCCTCTATCTCCCCGGCCATACTGCAGGCCATACCTGCACGCTGTCGAGCGGGGACGACATAACAGGGCTCTCTGGGGAGGATGGTCAATACTGGCGATCTTGATGGTGTATGGTCGGGTCGAGTACATATCAGGCTATAGAACGACTTCTTGTTCAGACTCGGGCTCTCGTGAGCAGTCAGTTCAGCTATAGACTGCCAACCTCTTCAGTCTCTTGTTTAGCCTGATCAATTGTGATACACCACAAAGAAACCGGTTACGGTTTCGGCCACGCGAGCAACTGCTCCTCCCTCCCAATAAGTGTGATCATCTTCCTAACCTTCCCATCCACATCAAGCATCAACTCGTACCTCCCCGGATACAACACCCCATTACCCTCCTCGTCCGTCCTCGCAATACTTCCAAGCGTGATCTTCAGCTCTACTGTCGCGCTCTGTCCAGCCGGCAGCCCCTTCATACGCATGTATGACACCAGCTCCTTCAAGAGTGCGGGGGATGGTCCTGCAGTGGTTCGAGAGAATAGCAAAGCCACATAGTCGGATTGAACCCTGCCGGTATTCTTCACCTCCACTTCGAACGTATCGAGCATGTCCAGATCGACCTGCGGAACGGAGGATCTTGCAGCTGCAACGAGATCTTGAATGTTGTAACTCCCGCCAGTACTTCCCCGCGCGCCCACCCAAGCCAGATTGAACGTCGTGTAATGAAGACCAAACCCATACCCGTACACAGCCTCGCCAGTGTACCATTTGTACGTCCGACCCATGCTCGAACTCGACGGTCGGAGACTCATATCGGTGAACGCGACTTGATTGACGTACTCCGCTGGGTACTGCGTGATTGGGAGCCGACCAGCTGGGCTCCGAATTCCTAGAATAATATCAACGAACCACTCTGTCCGGGATAGCCTCCCCAGATGAGAGCGCTGATCTGTGAATTGCCACTAGTCAGAATCCGGAGGCTCAGAATAATCCGAGAAAAGACCAGAAGACCAACCTTTGGATTCTTCTTAATCGCCTCACTATCAACCTGCCCTCCACCCATCTGAAGCACGATGAATGGCTTCCCCACATCCGCCAGCTGGCCAACAAGCTCCAACTGATTCCCCGGCCACCCAATCTCCACTCTATCCTGCTGTTCATGTTCGACGGATTGATCCAACCCACCAGCATACACCACGAGATCAGCCTCCCTCGCGAGCTTCAGCGCGTCCTCGAATCCCTCAGTGGAAGTCGAGCTGATGTTCGTCCCGTTGATGAACGAGACGTCAAATCCGGCGTCTTTGAAAGCTTGCTGGGGGCTTATGAGGAACGGGGCGATACCGTGGTAGCTGGATTGGAGCTGGACGGTTGCGTTTGCCCATGGGACAAAACCTTATTAAAGCCACGAGCCGATCCAGAGAGATTGAATAGCATCCATCTGATGTCTTTGTGAAGAAAATATGAGACAATGAACGCGGCGTTGAAAATTGGAGGGAAAACTGGCAGTGGTGGTGGAAGTCGTGGTCGAACTTTGAGCTTGGCATTCGACCCCAAGTCGGATTCGGAAGTTTGCTCACACAGGCACCCAACGTGCGGCTGCCTCTTGTATTTATTTATTTATTTGGAAGTACATCCCTTTTGGACCCCGCAGGATTCAGGGACCTGCTGCACATAAATACTACGTGCCATCTAAATGTGCAGCAGCGTATGAGGGACGACACCAGTACGAAGGCACGACATAGTACCAACTCATGGTATGGTCGTTATCATACGGAATTGAACTGAGTGCCTCGTTCGATCTACTAACCAGAGTCATATTAGTTCTTGAGCCAGATACCAGCGACCAACATTCTTACAGTTCATGCATAAAGAAGCTCAACTTGATCATCCTCATCCGGGATTATAAATGTGTCGTCCTCGGGAAGAGACGCGCCCTCCTGAATATATCGAGGAGCTCGGTATACGGGGGTTGCATCATAGATGACGAGCACGTTGTGAATAAACGACGCTAGTGTGTTCCTCAGCTGAGGATCATCCATAGCCTCGTTCAACACGTCAATCCCACGTCGTTCCTGTACTCCGAAGCATCTTTCCGGTTTGGATTCGTTAAGCATGCGGTAGAACCGCTCCCTTCGAATTACCAGCTCGGGGCTTTGGTCACATTCGAAAGCCGCATGGAGTTCGTCTTCTACTGCAACCCTACAGAACCTGCACAACCTGTTCTCACGGGCGTTGTTGGGAGACCATCGGAGGGTTTCAACGGCGAGGTGATGGCAGGACGTGATGAACCGACAGAGTGATTTGCGATGGGCCGGAGTAGGAACAAGGAGGTATGATTGGAGATGGAAGGTGTTGGCTGGTTTATCGACAAGGGGTGGAACAGGGTACCTTGTCTGTAGGATAGATAGCTTTCGGGAGTTGTGAATGTCGACAAGAACTTTATTCCATGTCCATTTTTCTATGCCGCGTTTCATCCCGTATACAATTCTGAAACACCGTTGTTGAAGTAGTTATCATGCTTGCCTTCCATTGGTCTTCGAGGCATACAAACAGCAAGCGGCTCGGGTTCGATCCCCAAACGGTGTACTCTCAGCGGCTTGAACCTTCTTTTTGTCGGCAAATCTCCCTCCTCACGTTCACGACAAGAGCATCCATGCATATTAAACGTGGCCCCTTCGGGGTGAAAAAGTGTTCGCTCCTCGAAAAGGGTCGAAAAAGGGCAGTTTGCTCGAGCGCCAACTGAAAAACAGAGAGGTCGGCCCCATCTATTTTATGTGCCCCTGATTCCTTCTCATGTGCCTCGTACGCGCTCGCAATCCATTGGCTCTCGGCTGACTCGCCAGCAAGCTCAGTAGATGAAGGAAACAGAGAAGGAAACAGATCTGAGATATATATACCAGCGAAGGAGAAAAAGAGGACGGCCCGATTGAAAACAACGGGCAAGTATCACAGCGCTCCATACAATGTCTGTGTGGGTCCAAATATGTCCACTCTTCAACACTCCTGTTGGCCTTTCTTTCGGATCGACGGGGACCTTTTCCTGTTTTTGTGCTCGTTATTACCGCCGATTTTCTCGACAACCTCCCTGGTGCAATCAGATATAAAACACTTTTGTTGGAAGCTGAATGAGGTTGATGTCATTTGTGGCTGTCGTATCGAGTCTGCTCTATGGTTCTCATGACTCTGGACGGTGTTTTTCGATAGAGATTAAATTCTTGATTATTAGCCCTTCAATGTAAAGTACACAGAACATCTGGAGTCCTTTCGTCATGATATAAATCGTAACACATCGTGAAGCCGTAAGCATACTAGAGCTGAGAGACGCCCGAGAACATTGACTGGACGACCGGCGTCTGCATCTTTCCGTCCCGAATCGCCTTTGGTTGATGAAATAAGCCTCAGAACACCAAGTAACAGATATAGGAAGACCCACCTCATAGATAACAGAGATCGACTGGCCAATCGTCGCATCCTTAGAATCGGCGTCTGTCTTAAAGTCCGTGATATTATCCAATCCATGCATCCGCACACCCAATCCCACACGGATGTACTCATAAACTACCTTTGTCCTCCCCAAGTACGGCGAAGCAGGCGTGAGACCCCGCTCACCAGAGAGGTACACCCTTCGAAGGTCATTCAGGAGATGAGTAGCGCGAGAAGCGACGTCGGATTGGAATCCCGCAATCAAGACAAGCATCTCCGGGGAGTTGACACCAGCTTGCAAGAGAAGCTGTATGAGCACGGGGACGCTCGAAGATGCGACAGCAGCCATTTGGTCGACGGCATCCATAGTCGTTGTCTTCTCGAGGGAGAGAAACATTGTCTTGAGCACTTGTGCCAGGATGGTTGATTGCGTCGAGGCGTCGAGGGAGAGGGGGGTAGCGAAGTGATTGCTGATCTCGTCCTTGACGATGGATTCGAAGCCTTCGTCAAACTCCGTGCGGAGCGCACGAAGGTCGAGGGCTATAATGTAATGGGCGATGAGAGGTAGGATATGGAATAACATTGCTGCTCCTTACCTTGGCAAAGGATGTAGAGATAAGTAGCCGTCAGGATCGAGAGAACTTCGAGCGAAGTGATCGTTGCTCGTGCCGATATCAAAGCCAGAGAGCTGATAGGAATCTGGGTTCAATACAGCGCATTCCTGCATGATATACCTCACTCACTTGACAGCCTGGTTATGCATCTCTGCACTCTGAATGTGCGTAGACACCGGGTTTGCCAAATATCCCAACTCGGCGACATACGCAGCTGTAGCGATATCGGCTCCCTTCACATGATAGTTCAGGGAGGGATCCGAGGCGGCCAGAGAAGGTGGAAGTCCGCGGTTCATCGCTGGATTGACGAGCTCAGTGCTCTGCGCGAAGAGAAGTTTGCCGATGTGGTGAAGGGAAAGACGGGTCTTTTCCATCGCGTTGGAAACTGCCATCGCTTGAAAGTTACCGCCATGGTGAATTTCACCGGTCTCTCCATCGACGAGAGGGTTGTCGGTCGCTTTTTTACACAAGACATCAGCAACAGGATCTGAAGAGTAAACGCGACGAAACTTACTCGAATTGCATTCTTGAGTCACGACGGTGAGCGCTGACAGAATATCCTCGATTTGAGGGCCCACGAATTGAGGTGAGGTCCTCAGCGGGTAGCGGTCTTGCCTCAGCGAGTACTTATCGTCCTTGATTGATACCTCTTCTTCCTCCTCGAGCTGTGCAAACTTACTCCCTTCCAACAATCCCCATACGTTCTCAGCGAATTCGATCTGACCCGGGTGTGGTCGAGCCACTGCGTGGATAAATCGGTGATAGTTCGCTCGGGTACCAAGGAGAGCTTCGGTACCCATCGCAGTGCAGATTTGGCTGAGTAACGTGAGGTGGACAGCTTCGTTGAGGGCTAGAGCGGCTACGGAAGCGGAGAAGGCGGTTCCGTTGAGGATTCCGAGAGGCTCTTTGGATGCGAGGGACATGGGGCTGATACTGTGGGATGCCAGTGCTTCGTTTGAGGGGCGGACCGTGCGTGCACCGAGGCCGGTCTTGGGGCCCGAAAAGACTCGGATGGAAGGATTTCCAACGACAGTGCCGGCAATGTAGGACAGAGGAGATAAGTCTGTCGAGATCACTGTCAGGGATATTGTTAGGACAGCGATTGAGGACATACCGCCGGAGGCCGAGATACTTCCTCGTAAGGGAACGTAGGGTGTGATATTCGCATTCATTATCTCTTGAATTTTCTCAATGAGCTCCCATCTGGATGAATACCAAACGATCAGTGATAATGATTTTCGACTGGTGCGTTGCAACATACCGGACACCGGAATGACCCCGGATAAGCGAGTTCATCCTAATCAACATGGCACCACGAACCCATGCCTCGGGCATACTGGTCGATGTAGTTGGGTCCGAAAGAGGAAGAGCATCGAGAGCTTTCGTCGAGGAAGGCAAAACTCCAGTATGTTGCATTTGAAGGAGAGCTTTCCCCAAAAGAATGGGCTGGTCAGTCCTAGTATCCGCTATATCATGTCGAAACATGAGCCAATGACGTCTAAAGCGATCATTACTCGAAGAACGCACCACTTCCACCGAAGCCGGTAGACAAGCCATAAACACTGGCACCGTTCTCGACTTTCTCGGAAATGACAGCTCGACTCTTGGCTACGAGCGATTTGACTTGAGGAGAATGATCGAGGTTGACTGAAGCGCTGAATCTGGCGGCAGCTGTAACTGCTGCGATAGACAAGTTGTAACCATCGATCGTGATGGGCTTTGTACCGTTCCTTTATCGAACTCGAATATCAGCAAACCAGACAAAAACTTGATAGTGCTAGTAAACAGACCTGTAGCTTTCGAGTTCCTTATGACTTTCCAGAAACTTGTAGAGGAGGGTAGACCGGGAGGATGACGAGATAGCTGAGTTGGTTGCGGTGATGGCCATTGGATTATAAGATGGATGTAAAGCTTCTAAGGCTCGTCTAAAGGTCTACTGAAGGAAAAGGAAGGGAAGCTTGAGAGGATGTCGAAACAGAGCTGCAGACGCCAAGCTTTTATACTGCATGAGAATGGAAAAACCAGAAACAGAACGCAAAATACTTACGGACTCATTGTGGCTCCAGAACCAACCTACGTCGTCATAAGGACATACGAGCTTACACTGATGTAACATACCACTGGCGTCCGCAACGAGAACATCTCTATCCCACGGAGACAAGCTTGCAGGAAAGCAGACAAGGGAAGCTACGGATACCAGCAAACCCGAAAATACGAAATCCCGAGTGAGTATCAATCAGTAAATCTATGTGTACCTCATCTCCTAGTGCGTGAGGACTGACCTTTATCAAGATAGTCCAGAATAACGCAAAACCTATGCCGTTCAGCGAGTCATTGTCCGAGGGAATCAACAGATGAAAAGCGGGATACGTACCTATGTACTAATAGGACACCAGCTAGTGGCTCTTCACTTGCCTCGGGGAGTTGGGAGTCGTTTCCACTACATAGCAGGAGCTGATGGGTGGTTTGGATGGAAAAGTACCAGATCGCTTCATCTTGAGACAGAGAATCTCACTTTCACATCGTACAGGATGATTGAAGATGTTCTGCTCGGAGAAAGGAAAACCAAGAACACGCCCGGAATAGCACCGACGTGGTGGTCCATGAACAAGCAAGGAGATAAGATAAGACGATCTTGTGGCACTCATCTAAGCGCCCAGGAGGTGCAAAAACAGCGAACCCGATCCTTTGCTCTGGGTAGGTACTAATCTATCCGAAGGTCCTACACACTGCTAGTTCATATAGTACATCTCCTCGGTTTCTTGAGCACGCAAGTGACCACAGTGTGAGCCTGTAATGCAACTGGAACAAGCGAGTTACAGAAGCTCCCACCTGTACACGGGCCTCCGGGAAAGAAAACTTGGGGTTATTCCTGCGTAGTCGTCTGCTTCCGGCGTGCGTGATGAATCGGGTAAGGTTGCAAGCAACGTCCTCGGGCCTCGGTGGGACGCTGTTGGGTAAGATGACTAGAGAGCTGCAAGTGCATCCGGCGACATAGCAATGGGTTCATTTATGAGAAGCAGCGAAACTTGAAGACCAACGAAACAAATGTTATCAGCTTCTTGCCTAATGAAACGTACAGTAACACAGCACACCTCTTCATTCCTTTTCTTCTGTCAAAGCTATAGCTTCATCTCATCCAACATTGCATCCCGATCAGAGCCGACTCCACAGAACGTGACATCCTCCACCATTGTCTACACCGGCCATATTCGAGGCCTAGCCAAGTTTCTGCAACGAGGATCCAGCGGAGAGCCTGTAACGAGGTGCCAGTCTTTCGCTTCCAAAACTGGTTGGTAGGAGAACGAGGGGGCTATTGCTGAGACTCATTATTGACATAATTCGGTATCGACGCCGACAGAGAAATAAGTCAAAATGGAGGGCGGGTGGGATCTTATGTGGCATGAGGACGGGTGTTCGCGTTTTTCGTTTTTCATCGCCAGGTTCCACATGCGTTTTCAAGGTGCTCACGTTTCTATTTTCGAGGAGAGTGACTTGCGAGCCAGTTGCTCCGAGGTCCGAGGTTCAAGGCCATGTTGAGGAAAGATC